GCATTCTCTCACTGTTCTTCCCAGGAAGAGCTTCCAGATGGGACCGTCTTCGGACTTTAGATATTAAAGCATTCTCTCATATGTCCCTAGGTCGGGCAATTACTTTTCCTGTCTCCAAATGAAATCACCAGTCTGCCTTCGTAGCTGAGTTCTGCATACCGACACCTGAGAAATTCTGAAAGGTCTCTTTGGAATTGTCGTTGATATGCTTTCACAACCTCCGGTGGGCTTGTCTCTGTAATGTAGATGTTCGTGTTGTTGAGTGAAGCACCCCGTTCGGTGTCGAGTCCTTGAGGAACCTGACGTTTCAGGATAGCTAGAATGAGCCATCAGACAGCAGTATCGACTGCTTTGTATACTACCGTTTAAGAGGAGGTCAACCTGAGAGAGCCAGTTGAGAGATCCAGAACAGTGGAAGAAGTGGACGCTCCGACGTGGGAAAAGCCTGCCGTAGAAGGAGCCCGGCACTCCCGCCACGTAGTAGGGCACCAGCAGATTCCCCTTCTCTTGCTCGACCTTCCTCTTGTACTCGCCCAGACACCGGAAAACGTGATTGAAGTCGTTCCCCGGAAGGTCGTTTAAGAAGAACTGGATCTCCGGTGGCTCCTGACGTTCCTGCAGACTTCGTCGTAGGTCGCCGACGACGTCGAGCACCTCGGACATCACCACGAAAGTGTTGCAGCCCGAGGAGCAACCTAAGTCGGCGACCACCATCTTCGCAGGGTGTAGCGACTTGTAAACCCCTCCTATTGCTTCGTCCAGCACTGGCTTCGTCATGAGAAGTGCCTTCTCCTGTGACGCAGTCAGCAAACCATGATCGGATGTGGTGAATGCTAGGTATGTATAAGCTTTTAAGTTCATACAAACAGTTCAAGAGGAACCACCTGAAACTTAGAATTGGAGGCATACAAGTGCCTTCTTCCACCCTCATGCTCATGCCTTTCCTAAGAACACGATGGTGCATGGAACGCAGAGCTTTTTGCACGCCAGGACGACTATATATGGTCTACAAGAATGCATTTAACTGACTCATTATCCCATAATCAGAACCACAATTAGTTCTTATTACTTGTAATTTGATTATTCCTGATTCTTTTATAGGACTTTTTGTTAGAGCTAGCCCCAGAAAATTTACCAAAGGATAATTTTGGTAACCCATCAAAGACAATAAAGTGAAAAGATAAAAGCGACAAGAACATCAAGAACACCTGATTTATGTGGTTCGGTCAATTGACCTTGACCTACATTCACGGTCGAAAGAGGAGCAAATCATTACTATAAAAGAGAGACTATTACAAATGCCTTACGAAGATGTTCTTAGGCCATAAAACACTTGAAAATACTAAACAAGAAAATACCCAAACTATAAGTCCAAACTATTTAACTGAGTGTGGACTTAAACCCAAAGTAAACACTTAGGTTTTTCTTGTGGTGCATCTGACTTCAAAGCCCAGACCCTTATTTATAGTTCCAATAAGAGATAACAAGCCTGATTTTCCCGATGTAGGACTATGAGACTTGCCAAACTAATAAATCTCCACCTTGGCATGTCCCAACAAATTTGCTCCACCTTCATCATAAAAGCCCCAACGGACAATCACCAACAATGAACACCAACAAAGTCCAAGCACTACTTGAACTTGTAAACTGGAAGAGGCTTCGTAAGTATATCAGCTGGATTGTTCTTCGTATGAATTTTCTGAACAAAGACTTTTCCCTCAGTAATAGTATCTCATTTGCATCTAACAATTTTCTTACCGGAAGGCGGCTTCACAAGATCCCAAGTTCTATTCTGATGGAGAGATTCAATTTCTTCATTCATCGTGATCAACCACTTTGTGGAATTATCATAAGAAACTGTATCTAAGTAGGAAGTAGGCTCACCAACTTCACTTGTTTCTTCTGCAACAGACAAAGCATATGCAACCAAATTTACATATCTTTGTGGTGGTCGAATATTTCTCCGTGGTCTATCCTTGGCTATGGAATATTGCTCTTCCTCTAGATCATCTTTATCAGTAGATTCCGGACCATCTATTGGCATTTTTTGAGTAGAAGAGTTCAACTTAAAAGAATCTGAACTACCAATCTCAAGCTCCATCTGCTTCTGCGCACTATCATTTGTACAACTAGTAGATTCCTCTTTGAAAGATAATATAGACAATTCATCAAAAGTAACATCTCAAATGATTATAAATTTAAGTGATTTGGGATCAGAACACCATAATCTGTATCCTTTCACCCCAGAAGCATACCCAAGAAAAATACACTTTTTAGCTCGAGGCTCTAATTTTCCTTCATTTACATGCATGTATGCTGGACACCCAAAAATTTTTAAATCAGAGTAATCAGAAGGAGTACCTAACCAAACTTTCTCCGGAGTTTTAAAGTTAAGTATTGCAGAAGGAGCGCGGTTGACAACGTAACAAGCCATATTAATCGCTTCTGCCCAAAAGTCATTTGTCAACCTTGCATTTGAGATCATACACCTTGCTCTCTCCAAGAGTGTTATGTTCATATGTTCGGCCACACCATTTTATTGAGGCGTCATCCTAAAAGAGCGATGCCGAACGATTCCTTCATTTTTGCAGAATTCATCAAAGTCACCTTCACAAAATTCCATGTCATTATCTGTTCGAAGCTGCTTAATATGTTTATCTGTTTGCTTCTCAATCAAAGCATTCCATTGTTTAAAGGTTAGAAAAATATCATTTTTATGCTTTACAAAATAAACCCAAACTTTTCTGGAATAATTGTCAATGAAAGTCAACATATACCTAACACCACCCTTAGACTGAACATGAGTTGGACCCCAAAGGTCTGAATGAATATAGTCAAGAGTACCTTTTGTTTTATGAACTATCGGAGAATTGAAGCTGACTCTTTTCTGCTTTCCAAAAATGCAGTGTTCATAAAAATCTAGTGGCCTAGTACTCTGTCCGCAAAGTAGACCCCTTTTGCTTAATATGCTCAAACCTTTTTCACTCATATGACCCAAACGCATATGCCATAATTTGGTGATATCAGAATCAGACAATGATGATGATGAGATTGCAACTAAGTCTGTGACAGTAGTTCCCTGCAAAATATATAAGTTATCAGACCTACAAGCTTTCATAATAACAAGGGCACTTCTAGAAACTTTCATAACTCCACTTTCAGCTGTGTATTTATACCCAAAGGCCTCTAGGGTGCCTAAAGAGATGAGATTCTTTTTTAAATCAGGAATATGTCTAACATTAGTGAGCGTCCTCACAATACCATCATGCATTTTAATTTGGATTGTGCTTTTACCAACAACATCACACACGGCATTATTGCCCATCAAAACAATTCCACCATTACAAGATTCATATGTGGAAAACAAATCTCTATTATGACACATGTGATAAGAACAATCCGAATCTAAAATCCATTCATTTTTAGATCTCGTCCTATCATCAGTAGCAAAGAAAATATTTCCATCAGTCTCATCAGCTTCTATACTAGCTTCAGCGGACTCAGTAGTTTTCTTAACAATTTTTTTCCTTTTGCTTTAATTTATTTTTCAATTTAAAGCAATCAGCCTTAAGTGCCCCATTTTATGATAATATCTGCACTCCAAATTTTTATGTCTGGATTTAGATCTGGATTTAGATCTATATTTAGATCTACTACTATCAAATTCTCTTTTATCTGTTCTCCCCTTGATAACCAGACCCTCAGCTTGATTTCCACTACTTTCCCCAGTGATATCCCTATCTATCTACTCAGATTTTAGTGCAGATTTAATTTCCTAATACGAAATTATTTTTTTTCCATAAATCATAGTATCACGGAAATGCTTAAAAGATTGGGGAAGAGAACACAAAAGTAACAGGGCCTTATCCTCATCATTAATTTTTGCATCTATATTCTCCAAATCCATAGTGTTGATCTATGGTTTACCCTCTCTGACGTACTTTCCTGCTATACTCATTTTTATGAGATCTAGAATTCTCTTTTGATGAGATCCATCTATATGATGAAGATATGCTATTCTTGAGCCAAGATCTATATTCTTAATTAGATATGCTATTCTTGAGCCAAGATCTATATTCTTAATTTTATTGTGATCCTTTGGTTATTCTAGAGAAAATTTACTGTAAACTTATTATCATTACTATTGAGAGTGGAAGTTTGAGGTGGACTACTGTCTCGTGGTTTTTCTCACAATTGATTTTCTACGTTAAAAATTTGATCTCACTATTGATATTTACATTTTGATATCAAATTGATTATTTTGACG